GGGGTGGTGTTTGTGTTGATTTGAGTGACCTAATTCTAATGCTTGAATGTAAATGAACTCTAATTTAAACAAGAATGACAATAATGAAAATCAAAAGTGAAAGTGAAATGTAACAAATACTTGGGTTTCGGAATCCACCCTAAAAAATTCTACCCATATTCATGGACACTCAAGTGATGAACTCTAAATGTGTTGATGAAGATGTTCGCAATCAAGACCGGAACTAGTGGCTCAAGACGCATTGATTCTCTCTAATATATATAAAGTGCAGGACTAGTGCTACAATACTTGTGCTTTCCCTAAAACCAAATCTAGGTGTGCTTAGTACTTCGATTCAATTACAAGAAAAACTCATTAAGTTCAAAGAGAATATGAACATCACAAGACCCCTAATAGCATGATGTTTACATTAGGTATTCAAGAAACCAATTCAAATGGATGATTCTTACTTCATCCATTTATTACTTAGGAAAACATGAGAATACACATAATCCCAACAACCTCAAGAAGCATGCTTTCAAAGGTGATCAATCAAAGAAAAACATATATCAAAGATAGATTATTTTAGTGAATGGGAATTCATCAACAATATCTAGAAATTCATACACTCAAGCATCAAAACAATAGAGTATTCATGTTTAGGGCTTCAACCTAAGCCCTAGCTATGAAGTTTAGTTGTAACACATATTAAAAACAAAACTAGAAAGAGTTTACAGATTTTATGAAAATGGTGGAAGCTCAAGGTCTTCAATGGTGGAAAATCTCTTCCACTTCTTACTTGGCTGCCCTTGTCTTCCTCCTTTTGCTCTCTAGTTCAAAAACCTCTGCTCAAAAATCTGAAATTCAAGTCTGCCCAATTCAATTCCTCCGTTGAATGAATGAAGATGCCTTCATCATTCCTCATCCCTCCTTTCCAACTTTTACTAAAGTCTTTGTCTCCTTGTCTCATTGTCTCCTCCTCATGATTAAGTTTTGTTTTCACAAAGATGCTCTCAGAAAATTGCACTCAATCAAGTAATTTATTGTTACCAAATGGCATGGTAACAAGTAGAAATAAGATGACACCAAGTGGAGGTAAAACTGGCCCAAAACAGATTTCTAGAGCTGTAGTAACATGCTGGATCAGTTGGATAGGTTATACTTGTTCAATGGAGCTCAAATTCGGATATGTTGTAGTTAACATCCATTGGAACAAGTTTCATGAAGATCTTCACCTCATCCGAGCACCAAAGCTTGTTGATTTAAGGCCAAGAAATTGACTTACGAAAATGAACCAAAAACAGAATTTATAACCAATAAAGCATTTTTAGCTCATTTTCATTCTAACCAAGTTAAAGTCTAAGAAAACACAAAAAGGAAGTAAAAAGCTATAAAATGTCAAGAACTAACTCAAAATATTAGGTGAATAACATGACAAATCATGTGTAAAAATGAACCGAACAATGCGTTCTATATATTAAATTGTAGGAGTTATGATTCATGACCATATGTGTAGATATCTAGCAAATTGACTACATAGTATATGCTTGTTTTTAATCACTTGTAAAAGGCAGGTTTTACCTATTGACTACAATCCAAAATAATATCACAGATATACATTCCAATCAATTTTAACCGAAAATCATATAAAGAAACGATTAATATGATAAACTAAAATAATACACAATTAATAAAGCGAAAAAAAACACTCAAAATGAATTGTGCTCTTGTAACCATAAATATACATTTAATTGAATGCGGTGAGTATTCTAAATGCATATTAAAGGCCAAAAATATGAAAAATGGTAGGGGTTAGATTGCATAATCAACAAAAAGAATTGATTAATAAGACCTGCGTTAACTGTAGCACACCGACCGAACAAATTATTTTTATTTAATTATTTAGTTGTGTAATTATGTTTTTGCCCTTAGGAGTGGGGGTACTTTAGTCATATTTTTGTTTGGAAAGGAATTTGGGGAATTGAGTAGCACCGTTGCATAGAGCTCGTGAATACGAGTTCGTAGACACGCGGCAAGCTCAATTCGGAGTTAAAACGAAGAAGTTATGATTTACAGAAGTGCAGTGGCACAACGGTAAATATCGCGAAGTTCCAATTTAAGTAGGAAATCATATTCACTTTTTCGGGAACTCTCTCTCTCCCTCGCACATAACATGCCAAAACTTTGGCCAAAAGGATTTTGTCACTATGTTTTGAATCTGAAAAAAAAAAAGAAAAAAAAAAAAAAAAAAGGGCTTTTGTCACTATAAAGATGTGTACAAAATGATTGCACAAAATAGAGGAAAGAAGGAGAGGGCGGCGCTTTGTGCGTTGACTAGACAAAACTGATCAGATGAAGACCAAAAGGAAGGCTGGATTCGCAGCGTACCTCCCCAAGAGAAATCAACGGCTCCAGGCGCATCTCCAATAGTGCGTAGTAGCGCGCCTCCCTAAGAGAAATCGACGGCTCCAGCCACATCTCCAACAGCGAACACGAAGCTTCCATGGTTGCCCCTCAACCAGCCCAACCAAGCTGGTTCGAAATGGAGGCGTCCTCTGAGTGAACGAAACATCAGGAGCAAAAGAGACTCTAAGGGGCAAGGGCAAAAAGGAAAAGTAGGAAAAGAAATTTTAGAGAATAGCAACTGGGTCTTTTTACTGTGCTGCTAAATAGGACAAAAGGGGACCAAAAATAGAAAGCAAGGGCAAAAACGTTACTTCAGTGTTCCTAATGAACTGCTTAGGAACAGTGAACTTTGGATTCAGTTTTATGTTATAAAATAAAATAATTAGAGTATGGAATTACCACTGAAAAGTGATAGTGGAATTATATCTTTTCTTGTGGCGTTTGCACAGATTGAATTTCCTCTCAAATAGAAACTCACTCACGAATACTCAAATTTCTCTCTCCTTTTCTTTCTTCTCTCTTCTGTTGGTGTACATTACAGATGAACGAACAAGCCTATTTATAGGCACTTCTGAAGTTTTCTCGTGAGTGTACAGTGCATTGTACAGTGTACTTCTGCCTAATTCCGTGAGCGTACAGTGCACTTTGCTTCATATTTTCAACCATGTGGGCTCCACTGTTTACAACAATCCAAGGATGATTGCAATGCTGAATATCAAGATGTGAGCTCCACTATTTACTATTTACAACACTCCCCCTTGGAGACCACATATCCCTAAATTAGTTGCCTCATTAAAACCTTGCCTGGAAAAACCTAGTGGGAAAAAAAACCGAAGCGAAGGAAAAAGAGTACAACTTTATTTCGGACATTAGAGTAATGTGAAGTGCGCTCATGTTGCCTCGTTAAAACCTTGCTAGGAAAAACCTAGTGGGAAAAACCCTAGTCGAAGGAAAAAGAGTACAACGCGCTTATGTCCTGTGTTAGAGGACTCTTGAATACTCCCCCTGATTTTGCATGCTCCAATTTGATTGTTTGCAGAGTTGTCGTAATCCGATGCCATGCACTAGCTTCTGGAATGTGCACTTGGGTAAGGACTTGGTGAAGAGATCTGCCAAGTTATCGCTTGAACGGATTTGTCTGACTTTGATTTCTTGATTCTTCTTAAGCTCATGCGTGTAGAAAAACTTTGGTGATATGTGCTTGGTCCGGTCACCCTTGATGTACCCTCCTGTGATTTGAGCAATACAAGCTGCATTGTCCTAATTTAGGATGGTTGGAGTGTCCGTTGCTGAGGGCAAAGCACAGGTGCTTCGAATGTAATGAATCATTGATCTTAACCAAACGCATTCACGACTGGCTTCATGGAGGGCAAGTATTTCTGAGTGATTGGAAGATGTGGCTACCAATGTTTGCTTTGTTGAGCGCCATGAGATTGCAGTTCCTCCACATGTAAATACATACCCAGTTTGTGAGCGTCCTTGATGTGGATCAGAGAGATATCCTGCATCAGCATATCCAACAATACTCGGGGCATTGGTCGACTCACTGGAATAGAATAAGCCCATGTCTGTCGTTCCACGAAGATATCGTAGAATATGTTTAACACCGCTCCAATGTCGGCTTGTTGGAGCAGAGTTGTATCTTGCTAACAAATTTACTGAAAATGCGATGTCAGGTCTGGTACATTGTGCTAAATACATTAAAGCACCTATTGCACTAAGATATGGTACTTCTGGACCAAGGACCATTTCATCATCCCCTTTCGGACGATATGGATCTTTCTTAGTGTCAAGCGACCGAACGACCATTGGTGTGCTAAGTGGATGGGCTTTATCCATGCCAAACCGCTTTAATACTTTTTCAGTATAATATGATTGATGCACCAAAATTCCATCAGCACTGTGCTCAATCTGTAGGCTAAGACAATATTTTGTCTTTCCAAGATCTTTCATCTCAACTTCGCGTTTGAGATAATCAGCAGTCTTTTGGAGCTCTTCAGGAGTTCCAATTAGATTCATATCATCAACATAGACGGCCACTATCACAAATCCAGACTCTGATTTCTTAATAAACACACATGGGCAGACAGGGTCGTTTGTGTATCCTTCTTTCAGTAAATACTTGCTGAGACGATTATACCACATTCGCCCAGATTGTTTCAACCCATATAATGATCTTCTCAATTTGATTGAGAACATGGCCCGTGGTTTATTACTGGCTGCATCGGGCAGCTTAAGTCCTTCTGGAACTTTCATGTATATGTCGGTATCCAACTCTCCATACAGATATGCAGTAATGACATCCATAAGTCTCATGTCAAGTTTTTCTGAAACCGATAGGCTTATCAAGTAACGGAACGTAATTGCGTCCACTACTGGAGAGTATGTTTCCACATAATCAATTCCAGGCCTTTGTGAAAAACCTTGCGCAACAAGTCGTGCTTTATACCTCGCAATCTCATTTTTCTCATTGCGCTTTCTTGTAAATACCCACTTGTAACCTACAGGGTTCACATTGAGTGGGGTTGGAACAATAGGGCCAAAGACACTCCTTTTTTCCAAAGAGTCTAATTCTGCCTGGATTGCATCTTTCCACTTAGGCCAATCATGTCTCTGTGTGCATTCATCAATGGAGCAAGGCTCAACATCATTAACTTTTATGATCTCAGTAGCCACTAAGAATGCAAATATATTATCGATGATTATCTCATTTCTGTTCCACACTTCATTAGTGGATGTATAATTTATGGAGATTTCTTGATTTTCGGGTACAGCTACCACTTCAGGAGCACGTGTCTCATCAGGGACATTTTCCTTCTCAGGAAGTACCCGTCCCTCTTGGGGGGAATTTGAATCATGAATTATGGGCTCTCCATTTATTTCATTTGCATTCATTTTGGCTATCAACTTCCTCTTTCGAGGAACTGAGTCCTTTGAGCCTACTGGTCTGCCACGCTTCAGGCGTGCAACAGATGAGTCGTTTGCTGGCACATTGCTTTGCCCATTATGAACATCAATCCTTGCAGGTGCATTTGCAGCTGGGATATGCGATTTCATCACCTTCGTTGCATCATTAAATGCATCTGGCATATGATTTGCAATGCTTTGGAGGTGAACGATCCTTCTCACTTCGTTTTCGCATTGAGCGGTACGAGGATCGAGATAAAACAAAGTGGGTACATCCCATGATAATTCACGTCGTTCTTCAGGAACAGGTTTGCCTTGTTCTTTAGGAACAGATTTTTCTCCCCCTAATAGTGGGAAAATTGTCTCATCAAAATGACAATTGGCGAATCGTGCCCTAAAGATATCACCCATCAGGGGCTCCAGATATCTGATGATAGATGGTGAATCAAAGCCAACATAAATTCCCAATCTGCGTTGAGGGCCCATCTTAGTACGTTGCGGTGGTGCAATAGGCACATAAACCGCACAACCAAAAGCTCTTAAATGTGAAACATTTGGTTGATTGCCCAACACAAGCTGAATTGGAGAATATTGATTGTTGGCGACGGGCCTCAACCGCACCAGAGATGCTGCATGTAAAATGGCATATCCCCAAGCAGAGACTGGCAACTTTGTTCTCATTAGCAATGTGTGTGCTATCAATTGAAGACGCTTAATCAAAGCTTCTGCCAAACCATTTTGAGTATGAACATGGGGAACAGGATGTTCAATGTCAATGCCTAACGACATGCAGTAATCATCAAAAGTCTGAGATGTAAATTCACCAGCATTATCGAGTCTGATTGAATAGGCCCACATTCCGAGTGGACAAAAAGCAAACATGTGACCATCGGGTAGATGCATCCACCAAGACCATAAAGTATCGAAATGGTCCACAGGGAGGATGAATAGGCCCACAAATGTCCCTTTGGATTCTCTGTAAAAATGATGGGGACTCAACATCAACCTTTGGTTGTGATGGTCTGATTACCAACTTCCCTTGTGAACACGCTTGACAAAAGCTGTCATTTGATACCATAATGTGTTTTGTCAATAAGGGATGTCCTTTAGAGTTGGTAATGATCCTACGCATCATGGTGGATCCAGGATGACCCAACCGGTCATGCCAAAGCTTGAAAGTATTTGAGTCAATGGACTTCTGGTCCATGACACTATGTGCCTCAATTGTCCGTATGGTTGTATAGTACAACCCTGATGAGAGCGCACAGAGCTTTTCCAATATACGCTTCTGGATATCATTGGAAATAATACAAAGATATTCCATGTTTTTCTCATTCTTTGTTTCAACATGGTAACCATTCAAACGAATATCTTTGAAACTCAACAGATTTCTTCTGGAGTTAGATGAATACAAGGCATCTTGAATGGACAGTATTGTCCCATTTGGTAACATAACTTGGGCTACTCCTGAGCCTTCAATCAGGTCTGTAGGTCCTGATATGGTTGTTACCTGTGCTTTTGTAAGCATCAAGTTTGAGAAATACTTTCGATCTCGAAGGATTGTTTGAGTAGTTGCACTGTCTGCAAGGCAAATATCTTTGCTAGAGCTCTTGTTTTGGGGGAATCCATAATTTACATCCATGCCTTCAAATAAAATAAGTTGAATCAACAATCATTCAAAATATTGCCACTTTTATTGAAGTGAAGGCAGAAAGGAAAATAAACAGTGCTTTAGATAATACAAATGGTACATGAAGGAATTTAATCCAGTCCGGACCCATAAATTTCATTCCCCCTTCCAGTAACAAAATCGGAAACATCTAGATGCGTCTTGTCTAAACGACGCGATATTTCCGATGAGCCGTCTATGGCTGGCGGATCTGGTGCAACATAATTTGTCTCCACTTTTCTGTTTTTAAGTGAAGTTTGATAAAGATCCGCCAAGTGCTTCGGCGTACAGCATGTACGCATCCAATGTCCCTTTGCACCACATCTGTAACAAGCGCTTTCATTATTTCTAGGCACATAGCTTGCTTGTGTTTTTCCCTTATTTCTGGGTGCATTTTTGCCATTCATGGATGGATTGTTTCTCGGCCCCAAGCCGTATGGATGAGCACCACGATCTTTTCTACTCCCTTGCCATCGGCCATGTTTGCCTCCTCGCCCACGTTTGCGGATACTGCCACGAGATGAGGTGGCATTCACTTCCCGAGATGCAGCATTTATTTCAGGAAGTGGTGCTGAGCCTGTTGGGCGAGATTGGTGATTTTTCAATAAAAGCTCGTTGTTCTGCTCAGCTAGCAAGAGGCAAGATACAAGTTCTGAGTACTTTGTGAAACCACTATGCCTATATTGCTGTTGCAGAAGCACATTTGAGGCATGGAATGTACTCAGAGTTTTTTTGAGCATATCTTCCTCAGAGATATTCTCACCACATAATTTCATAAGGGAGGTGATCCTGTGCATAGCTGAGTTGTATTCGGACACTGTCTTGAAGTCTTGAAATCTCAAGTGTGTCCATTCATATCTAGCTCTTGGGAGAGTCACCGTCTTCTGATGATTGTATCTCTCACACAA